TAAAATGTAAGCCAATGAATTTAAGGTGTTAAATGTTATACAATACTCAGTGAATTGTACTGAGTTCAAGGAGAGAAGGTGTAATTACTGCATCTTGGCCATCCCTCTTTGCAGCCTCTGATTTTTCTCCACTAAGCTTTTAATGTATTTTCTTTCTTTTCTGACTAATTCACAAAGCTAAGTTTTATGAAAACTTAAAGAACACATAGTCATGCTTAGCTGTGATAAAAATCATCCTCTTTCCTTAAAACCTGAAAAGCTACTCTAATTAATTAGGCCAGCTCTTCAGAAACATGCAGACAGAAATGCACTCCTACTCTTCAGATCTTAACATTTGGATTTTTTTTTCCTTGAATATACATATCCAGTCAAATGAGGTCTGGGCATATTTTTGACAGTTATATGTTGAGATGCTTTCATGCCTTCCCACTCCTCACCTGCTCCTACCCAGTTTCCAGTGAAGCTGTAGAAGAGCTACAGTGAACTGCTGGCCAGGCTTCTGGCCTCCTGTACAAAACCCTTCTGAAGTTTGTATATAAGCTCTACTCGGTGTTCTGAGATGTTCTTGAAGCTGCTATGAAAGCCAGAAGAGTACCTCACCTTAATCTCAGTCCTTAAACCATTGCCTACAATATCCACTCCTGCTGAGTTAATGGAAAATTATCTCTGATACGGCTTTTTTTCTATTATTGATTTGCCTAGAGTTGCTGAAACACTGCAAGCAGCTGAAAGGTAAATCCTAGTGGGTGGAAATATAAGAAATATGAATACATGAAATATGAAACTTAAATAAGCAGCCAGAAGAATTGGATGGAATGTTACTTATTAATATTCTCTTTAGTACTTAGTTTTATTTTGATACTTTGCATATATGTTGTTACAAAGATGCACCCAGGAAAATCCTCAATTAGTTAAAAATTTCTTATTTACAGTTCCTAGTAAGATCAGGGTGTTCAACATTTATTACAGTGTACATTTTGTAATTTTACAGGTCTACTGTTTTTTTAGCAACTCTTTCAATGAGTGTTTGCTTTTTAGTTCCTTTTTTCCTGTGTTTTTGGTGGCTATGACAACAGAGTTAAAATGTACAATAAATGGGTGAAGCATTATGAAAAAAAAGTATTTTAAGGTACAGTGATATTTGACAGGGATGGACTATTATCAGTCTCTGAAGTCCCTGACTTTATTTATAGCAAGAAACAGAGCTGCTCTTAATGGCTTTTGTTCAATTGGGACTCTGTAGTTCTGGAAACCTGCTATTGACATAGACAGGGCAAACCTTTTCCAATGAAGTTGCAGAAGGGTTGGGCTTTTCTTGTGGTATGGAGGAGACAGTGATTTTCCTGGGTCACAGAATCAGATTTGGCATCCAAAGCAGATTTAGTTTCATCTGCATCAGCTTTTAATTGATTCTTAGAATCAATTCAAAGGTAGCTGTGGGCAACCAGTCACAGCTAATACCAAGTACACAAATAGCATCTGCACAAATGGTGTATAATTTCATCATTTTTTGTAATAAGTTAGCTGAACAAAGAGTGAAAAATATGACAAGTTCTTTACAGCAGGGTGTGAATCTTTGGGGGGAACAAAGGATTCTTTTACCTTGTTCAATCAGTATTATAGGACTTGATTTCTGTTCAGTAAGTCTTCCCAGTACTTTTGTAAGATTTAAAGGGCAGAATCTTAACATGGCAATGTAAAGTCTGTTTAATTTTGTTGTAATAGTGAAAAGTAGTTTCTAATTATTGTGCTGTAGTGCGAAGTAGTATACAAACAGGTCTATGATCTTTCCAGAAATGCAAATTTCTCAGTGGTAGTTTACTGTATTTCATTTACTTACTCGTCTTCCATGACTTCTATTCTGTGCAGTATCAACTAGAGTTGTGAAGACTCGCAGTTGTTGTTAACCTTATTTTTGAAGTGTGAAATGAACTGTCAACTCAGCCAAATCTTAGTATTGGGCTCTTTGTTGGAGCAAAGGAGTTGTTTTGGGGGTGTTTTTTTGTTCTTCTGTATCAGTGAAAGAATTAATAGAACAAGCTTATAATGATACTGTTAAATTAATTTGCACCATTGTAAAATAAAATACAGAAAGCAGACTTGTGATGTATTTATTTTCAGATTATTGACCAAATTTTTCAGTGTTAAGATGTCTAAAGTAAGTTCACAGTTTGCATAATCATGAGCAGCACCAAGATTTCTTATTTTTTTATAATGTGTACTTGTTGGCACATACATTCATTTAATTTAGGTAAGGCCTACTTTTGAAGAAAAGACATATAAAAACCAACAGCCTTAATCATTTAGTCTTAGCTAGCAAAGAAATACAAAGAAAATACTTAAGCTCCAGCCATAATTCATTGTTCTTTGGAACCAAAAGGGGTTAATTGCTAATTTTTTAAAAGTGGATTTTTTTTTATCCCTTAGTAGTTACAAAAGTGCCTTAAGTTTCTTTACTGAATATACATTACCAGAAAATTGTACTTTAAACAAAATAATATGTATGTGATTATTTCTTCTGAGAGATTATCCATATGTCATTTGGTAATATTTTGGAGTCTAAACAGAATCATCACCACCTCTGAATATTCTGTTGAAATTACTGTCAATGCAACACAGGATTTTAAACATGGTGTCTAAAATACATATTTTAAAAATCTTTGATAGAAAATCAGGATATAGTACTAAAATGATACAACACAAGAAAATTGTTTCTTTACAAAAATATACCACAAGATGTCACTGTAGCCTCGATATTTGATCTCAAATGTTAAAACGAGTACATAGTATTGATTAGAATAACTAAGTTGTACGAGTTGAAAATATTCTTAAAGCTAACATTTTACAAAGTGAAATTCATTAAATAATCATACTAATAGCTATGAGACACAATACTAGAATTGAAAAAACACAGAGGTTATTTTGCATGTTATTTTTACAGGGAATAAAAGAAAAGTTAGTTTATTTATGATGGTGCAGCTAATTGCCACAAATGAGAACTTTTCTGCAATGAAAACTGTATTTTTAACTTTGCAGAAGACATGTAAACAGTATACAAAAATTTGACAGCTGGGTTTCAGTTTCTAGACATATTTGCCTCCTAGATTCACCAGTCTAACTGGACGGGTTTCTATCTCTTAGGCTTTAATAAAACTCTGTTTCTATGGATTCTGGACACTGGACAATAGCTGTAGACTGTTCCATCTTTCCTTCTGTTACGTAAGAGAACTTGAGTGTGCTCATTCAAACTGCCCTTGAGCAGAGTGCAGCACTGACTTAGAAATGTGTTACATTGAACTGTAGTGAAAGTCTGAGTCAAAAAGGGCGTCAAAAAAACTTCAGTTCTGGACAATATACCTCAATACCCCATAGTACCTCTTAGAGAATTGCTTGTAAATAAAAAAAAAAATCAGTGAAATACTTGATTTTGGTAAGGGTTACACATAAGTGAAAGTTGTAAAGAACAATCTAAAGAAAAACAAACATTGATTTCCATGAAAAGCCAATACTCTCCAACAACCTTTATTTAATTTGCTGCTGCATAAAACTGCAGTCTCATTCTTGTAAGCATTTTGTATGGAATAGTACTTACTACTGAAAATTAGGTTATCTCAGGTTTCAGAATCAGGCACAAACAGGGTCATATTTAGCACATTCGTTTTGGAGCTTTTCCAAAAAAGTTGAAAAAAAAGCAGTGTAAGAACATAGGTACAGGGCATTAGAATTAACACAAAAATTAAATAAGCAAATAGAAAACAGCTGCACTGTCTTTTGTAGTTCTTCACCTTACTTGTAGAGCTTTGAAGATTATCCAGTGCTTATGACACCGGATTAAAAACTGAAGAGTCAGAAGTGTTTCACACTCATGTTTAGCCTCATTAGCAGACACACCAGGATTAATTATATGAACTGCTGGCTACAGTAGGTTATTTATAATGTAAGGGAAAGCTGGTGATACTAACGTGAACCTCAGGGCGACATATGGCTTTGTATTACAACATCGTTTAAAAGCCCTGCAAGTGTGGATTTTATTGTTCGTTTGGGGGAAGAGTGATGTTTTTTACCCCCTTTTTCTCTCACCTCAAGGAACTTCTCCTTTAGTTGTAAAACTGAGACGCACAGTCTGCTCTGCTTGGCACTTACCAATTCTTTCTAAAGGGGAGAGGCGACAGAACGCGCCCGGTGTTCGAACCAGCGGCTCGCGGGCCCCAGCCCCTGCAGCCCCGCGCCCGAGCGGGAAGCGGCAGCCGCGGGGGGCCTGGGGCGGGGCGCTGCCAGGAGCGCCTCCAGCTCATTGGCTGCAGGCGTAGCACGGCGGCCTCTGATTGGTCAGCTGGCTTGTCTGTCACAGCAAAGGGTGTCCCAGGTAGCGCAATGGGCGCTCCGTCGATCTCCCCGTGCTTGAGGCGGCCGGGCCGCTCCGCCCGCCCCCGTCTGGAGCCCGCTGAGGCAGCGTTCCGGCTCAGCCCCGCTCCGAGCTCTACGAACACCCGTCCGGTGCCCCTGGGGCCCTCTGCCACGGTCCGCCCCCGGGCGGAGAAAAGCAGCCCCAGCGCAGCGGGGCGCGGCGGCGCCGCCCGGGCAGGCGGGGCGGAGGGCGGGGCGGTGCCGGGCTCAGGGTCGCTGCCTGCCGGAGCAGGGGCGCCGCTGGGCCGGGGAGCGGGGGGAGCGCGGGGGGCCGGTCACTCGCAGCGTCAGCCCTGGGCAGGGCGACACAAAGGCTCCGTAACGCAGTTGCCAGAGCGCCGCCGGTCGCCTGGAAACCGCCCGCTGCCGCTTTATCCGGGGGCGTCTCCTGGCTGGGGGCGGGGTGGAGCTGGAGTCCCTGCGGGCTCTTGCCCGCCGTGTCCCGAGGCTCGTTCTCGGCTCCGCTCCCGCTCCTATGCGGGCTGCAGCCGCCGTGCTCGCAGCACCGTGGGCCCTGGCGGGCGGCCCCTCCGGGCAGCGGGTCGTGTCCCTGCGAGCGCGCCCCGGCCCCGCCGGCGCTGCCCTGGAGCGCCATGAGCTCGGAGTCGCCCCGCGCCTCGCTGCTCCGCGCCCTCTTTAAGATGGAGCCGGCGGCAGCCGCCTCCGAAGTGCTGGGGGGAGCCTCGGAATTCGTGAAAGGTGAGAGAGGGGCGGGAGCAGTCCCATCCCCTGCCCGCGGGGTCCTGGAGCCTTTCCCAGAGAGGAAACCCGCTGGTTTCTCTCCCGCCCTCCCCCGGCTTTGCTGCGTGCTCGGCTCGGCCCCTTTGCCCGGCGGGCTCCGCGGGCCCGGCACCTGTTGCTGCGCGCCGCTCGCTGGGTCGGAGCCGCTGCGAGGGGCGCGGGGGGGCCCGGCAGGGACAGGGACAGGGGCAGGGCCCGCGGGCGGAGCGCTCCGGGCGCTCCCGCCGCCGCTCGCGCAGCAGAAATAGGAGCGAAGGAGCCTCTTCCGCCCCGCGCTGACAGGCGTGCCCCGAGGCGGTGGCCGCCTGCCTTCCCTGTCCGACGCTGTGCCTCTTATCTGTCTTTCAGATCGGTTGTACTTCGCTACTTTACGAGCTAAACCGAAAAGTACCGTAAATACCCACTACTTCTGTACTGATGAGGAACTGGTCTATGAAAAGTAAGTGTTGTGGTTTGCGTATTCAAAGTGATCACCTGATTAGTCTCCCCAACACACTGATACATTCTGTACAATATTTTTGCCCCGTTGAGTTACTTGTGTAGAATTTGAGCGTGACGTTATTCCGAATGTGTTTATTTATTAGCTGATACTAGTTTAACAAAGTGACTCGTAAAAAAAAAAAAAAAAAAAGACCCGTAAAAACAACTGCAAGGCCAGTTAAATGGCTTTAATTGTGGTTGAGCTCGAAGGAGGATATCTGAGCCTTGCAAGATTTGTTTAAAACATGGTGTTAGAACTGATCACACTTAATTGAACACTGTCTTAAATAGAGGACTTACTTGGTGTGAATAGATAAAAAGTAGTTTGTTTTATATTTCCTGTATTTTCCTGTATAGAGAGGATGAAGTTTACAGAGTCATGAGAATGCAATGTTTAAATGTGTTTTTGAAGAGCGTCTGCAACTTCTTTTATAACTCTGGTTTTATTAGAGGGTTTTAAGATAGTACTTCCTGATGACTTTTGTATCTTTAGAACAGCAGAAAAAATATTTTCTGTCACGTAAAAGGTTCATGTTTGTGAGACACTGACTTCACATAGAAGGTAAAAGTACTGATTATAGTTGTGAATGTATTTAAGGACATAAAAAAATCAAGCAAATAAAGTAATCACTCTGTGCTGTAGCTAAAAAGTTGGTGCTCTGAACTGCATTTCAAAATCAACTGTTTCATGTGTGATGATAGATACCTATCTGCTTGACACGGGGTGTGCTGCAGCAGAAGTAAAAAAAAAATGTGTTCCTATTTTAAGTATAACTTGCTTTCCAAATGGCTTGAAGCAATTGTGAGCATCAACCATTCTTCCCTCCTTTCTCCAGTGACTAGTACTGCTTCTGTGAAGACGTAAACCAATATTCCTTGGCTTTTAGCTTGCTTTCTATGCACAGGTTGTGGTTTCAGGGTATCTTTTCAACACGTTTTCTTGCCTTAAGCTGTGTGTCTTCTGCGGGAGTTTCCAGTGGTTCATTCTGAAAGCTGACTTTTGTAATGGGCTGCTTAGGTTGGGAGTAAGTTTTTTAATGATCATTAAGGAATTTTGGTTGGAAGGGACATTTGGAATATCCTAAGGGAAGGTTGACCTAATATTGAAAGCAGAACTCAATTGAGGAATGTCCCGAGCAATTTGTGTGATATGAAAGTGTTCTGTCTACTTTAAGAAAGGAAACTTGTGTCTCTTCCAGACGTCAGCATTTTGTTTTAATTCTTAATGTGCTTTTAGGAAGTGTGAAGGAATCTTACGTGACATTTGATCTTGTGGATAAGGAAGGGGGAGAAGTACTGTACTGTTAGTTACAGATAGCTCTGTTAACCAAGGCCTGTAACAGCTATTTGGGTAAGGACAGTGTCATATTAAAAAAAAAAAAAAGGTACTGAGAAATTTGAGGGGGTGGAGGGAGCGTAGTTTTCTTTAACAAGTAGAGGAAATTCTGTAAGTATGTTCCTTAACCCAGTGTTAACTACATATGAGGGTGTAACCTGATACCAGACATAATAACCGGGTAATGGAAGGAGGCAAGGTTTCCTTTATCTTCTAGGGCACCTCCAAAGACTTTGAACACTCCTGGTGTATGCTCTAAATTGCTGGTTCCTAATCTGTTTGGCCCATTTTAGAGTTGTTATCCTGTATCTGATACCATAAAGATACTCTCCCTTTTGTGCTCATAAAATGCTAGAATGTGATATCAAAATAAGTGACAGTTACCAGGTGGTACCAAGGAATTGTGTAATAACCTTTTACATATCATTGCTAAACTTTCCCCTGGTATTTGTATTGCATCTATCCTTATCAGTGTACACAATATTTGGTAATAAACCCATGTCTTTTTTTTTTTTTTTTTTTTGCCCTCTCATATCCAAGGAAGCTTGCATAGTCTCATGGAAGTAAAAGCAGGTGTCAGTAGGGTTACCATGTTATGTATATTTTTAATATCTTTCTGAATGTGCAAGGCTGGAGGTAAATTGAGGAATAGAACGCAAGACTCAGTTCTTGGGGAAGTGCTAATTTTACTACACCTTCCCTTATGCTCATCAACAAGCTTGACATCAGTCTATTGTGTTTCCCAGGCTGCTCACAAAGTGGGGGCCTGACAGGGCTTGTCTGTAAGTAGTGCTAGAGTGTAACTTTAGTACAACAGATCAGATGGTCTTCTGACTTCCTCAAAATGTAATCTTCTTTCTGGACAAGTGATTAGAAGTATTTGTTGCCTGATAGCAAAATAAATATTTGGAAGTGAGTTTTGAAATGCTGTAGCTCAGAGCAGTGTTTGCAGAGTCTTTCTTCATGGGAATAGCCTGCTTGGGTGGTTCTTGTGGTCAGAATTCCACAGCCACTCTTCCTTTTTAATGAAATGACTTGTTCAGAGAGGGAACGAGTCATTTCAGGGAGGGGGATAAGAGATGTCTGCTCAGGCATGAAATCCTCAGCACCTGTGAGGTATGAAAGTAATTACGTTATTACAATTGTTTATTGATTTAACTTTGCTTAGATGCATCATTGTAGTGACAAGACAAGATACTTCATTGTGTTTGGAAGTAAACTGCTTTTCTTTTGGCATTTATTCTGTTAGCTTGTTACAGAATTTTATTTGGCTGATTTTACAGGGGTGTCATTTTGCTTCACTGAAGCAGGATCTGATCTGAAAACCTCATTAATATGTAGGTTTGGAGTTGCCTGATTACAGAGAGCCTGTTACTGGATCACATAGTACTTAAAAATTCGCTGCTTTGCTTCCCCGTTTTTTCCCCCACTCTTGAAGAGACATAAGGAAGCAATTTTTATATTAGTACTATACACCATTTATTAAGAGAGCTGTAGTGCTAGATCTGATGGTTTGGGAAGTTTGGGGCTGTCTTGCTCCTGTAGCTTGTCACATGATTTATCACTAAATTATGCACAAAGTGTGGTTATGTAATCTTGAGCACTTTAGCCTTCAGTTCTCACTGGAAGCTTTCAACTGTTCTAATGACTTCATAATACTTTCTTAAACATTTGCATTAAAAAGATAATAAAGATGTTCTTAAAACCATTTAAGCCTATCTCAAATGCTAGCTGACTAGGAACTTGCTACTATAACTGTCACTATTTTAGTTAAATATGCTGCAATTTAACCTTGAATTTATTATGCCAGAGAAATTATATACAAATGCCTCAGTTAAGAGAACAAGAAACCTGAATGGAATGACACATTTCTGAAATCTCTTCCTTAGTACTTCTATTTCTGTAAGATTTTCCTCAGAGTCTTTCTGAAACTCCGGGATTCTTCCTGAGAAAGTCTGCACTACTTCTTATAAGGGAACACAAGTCTTTCAGGATAGTGTAGAACAGGTAACTATTGCTTCAGAAAAATGAAATTAATGAGAAACAATCCATCTTGATGAAGATTGTCATTTGGCAAATAGACAAACCTTGCCTTGGCAAGACCTCAGTTAATGAGTTAGGCACTGGTAAGAAGCTTTTTATTCTCTAAGAATAGTGTCTTTCACGTTTCACCTTCCAGTAAGCAGATCTGGGTTGAGAATACCACACTTGACTGGTTAACTTGGCTTTCACATAGTTTTATCAAAGCAACTTTTAATGTGCTTTTTATTTCTAAGTAGTTTTCTCAGACAAGGTCAGAATTTAAATAATGTGAAACAGGAATCTCTTACTGATGAATTATAATGACAGCCTTCATAAATCATAATGGTTTTATTCAGTCTTTTGTTCTGACTTTGGATCTCTTGTATAAACAGCTTTTGCAGATCTAATCTCTGACATGGTGTAAGCAGCTGTAGAAGTAATAAACATGATAGTCTCTGTAAATCATGCTTTTTACACTGAAACATTCTTTCAAGCTACAGTATGTTACTTGCCCATTTCACAGCAGTCTTCATGAGAGCTACTTCAGTTATGTAGCAGTAGAGCAAGACTCAAGTGCTTAGCTACAACAATATTAAAGCAGTACTGTTTCTTCTATTGCATGTGTATATGCAAAGAAGCAGTTTCTTTCTTGTGAGAAAAGCAAGGGTCAGCCTATCTAGTTTTGCTTTCGTTAAATTCTGCTTTTCTGTGGCTCTCCAGTAACAGTACTGGCATAGGAAATCTGAATTTCTCAATCTTTCAGTGGCTTAAATAATTAGAAGGAAAAAAACCCTTAAACTTAGCCTTATTACAACAATCAGAGCTGTCACTTCACACAGAAAGCAGAGATTTCCTTGTTCATGTCAGTTATTTTGAAGACTCAACCTTGACTATTGGATGACCAAGATAACTTAGTAAGATTAAAATTAAAACAAGGAAATTTCCCAGCTTAATTTTATGCATTGCTTTACCGTGTCTGTCTTTGCTTTTTCATAAGTAAAAGATAAAAGCATTTGCCAGTAGTATTGAGGAGATTTTTCTTCTGTTTGCAGTAAAAGGGTACCAGGGTAAAACAACAGTTTTCTAAGCTACAGTTTCATGTTGGATGTGAATGTAACTTGTCTAGGAAATCCTTTATGTACATCTTGGCCTCTGTCAAGATGACTTCTTCCCCTAAGAGACTAGGCTTTTTATGACCTGAAGGTTCTTCTCTAGGGCAACTTTTTATGGGAGAGCCTCTTCATTGTTAATTTGTTGTTATCAAGGAGTACTGGATTAAAAAATCATGTATCTGGAATAATTATTTTAATTATCTGTGACTTAGATCTGTGAGTTGTTGGGTTTTGAAGAATCAGGATCTTGAGGAGGACTTGAAACTTCCAAGAGGAAATGGACTTAACACCTGGGGGTTTTTGCATAATTCAGAGCCTCTGCATTATTCCCATCTTCTGTTATTTCCAGGGTTATATTTGTTGTATCAGCCTTTGTCTGTTCAGAAGCACGCAATCCCTAAGTAGCATTAAGCATTAAGAATTTTGTCTCAGCCCAATTAAGAAAGCTCCTAACAAATCACGTGTTACTGGAATCTAGAGTACAAAAAC